CTATCGCTTGTTTCACTACGCTATGATCCTATCACTTGTCTCACTACGCTATGATCCTATCACTTGTCTCACTACGCTATGATCCTATCACTTGTCTCACTACGCTATGATCCTATCACTTGTCTCACTACGCTATGATCCTATCGCTTGTCTCACTGCGCTATGATCCTATCGCTTGTTTCACTGCGCTATGATCCTATCACTTGTCTCACTACGCTAAGGTCCTATCACTTGTCTCACTACGCTAAGGTCCTATCACTTGTCTCACTACGCTAAGGTCCTATCACTTGTCTCACTACGCTAAGGTCCTATCACTTGTCTCACTACGCTAAGGTCCTATCACTTGTCTCACTACGCTAAGGTCCTATCACTTGTCTCACTACGCTAAGGTCCTATCACTTGTCTCACTACGCTATGATCCTATCACTTGTCTCACTACGCTAAGGTCCTATCACTTGTCTCACTACGCTATGATCCTATCACTTGTCTCACTACGCTATGATCCTATCGCTTGTTTCACTACGCTATGATCCTATCACTTGTCTCACTACGCTATGATCCTATCACTTGTCTCACTACGCTATGATCCTATCACTTGTCTCACTACGCTATGATCCTATCACTTGTCTCACTACGCTATGATCCTATCGCTTGTCTCACTGCGCTATGATCCTATCGCTTGTTTCACTGCGCTATGATCCTATCACTTGTCTCACTACGCTAAGGTCCTATCACTTGTCTCACTACGCTAAGGTCCTATCACTTGTCTCACTACGCTAAGGTCCTATCACTTGTCTCACTACGCTAAGGTCCTATCACTTGTCTCACTACGCTAAGGTCCTATCACTTGTCTCACTACGCTAAGGTCCTATCACTTGTCTCACTACGCTAAGGTCCTATCCTGGACCAGTTCGGAAGATGGGAGAGGGAAAGGTTATTTATTTGAATTTTACCGTAATTGATTTTTAAAAGCTTTTATAAAAAAAAATAGGAGGGAACCACCAGAATTCGAACTCATGGTTCAAGTCTCAAGACGACATACTAATCACTCTGCGAGTGAGACGCTTAAAAAAGTATTAAGCAAAGAATACTATAACTATCTTGTTACTAGTTTATTATATGTCATTACTATAATGTTTGCTGTTACGAAATAAATATTGCCTCAATACGATAACCTATGACATAGATAATTGTGTTTAGCCCATTAGTTAAATGAGGCCTAAGTCTACAGAGTGTGGTGTAAAAGCAATTAATTAGAAAACCAAAGTGGGAGACTTTTGTTTTGTTTGGTTTTTAATTAGAAAAAAAAATGATTGAATGAAGAATGAAATTAAAAAAAAAAAGATTACCTTGAACGTAACGTAATGCGAAACAGACGACAGATCCGAAAATAAACTTCTGCATCAGCATTGGTATCAAGGTGAAGGGCATGCAGAACAGGGCCAAAAGTAGGTCACTGAATGCCAGGTTCAAGAGGTACATGTTTGTTATGGTCCTCATTTTCTTGTGCCGGACCAGAGTCAGGATGACCAGGACGTTACCCACGACGGACAGGAGAAAGATGAGCAGGTAAGGTATGATGATGAAGTAGCTGACGCGGCTGCCTTGCATCCAGCTCATGCATTCCTTCAGAAAACTCTCTCTGCTGCTGTTGAGGGCGCCAGTATAGTTGTACATTTGCTCACAATGGTCAAGCAGTGGACTTGACTGGACGATATTGTGGAAAGTTCGATTGCTATAGTCAGGTACAAAATACTGCTGTTGGACCATGGTTCAATGTGGAGTCAAAATGGGAGATACTATAAAAATTGTGCTCTTCTGAACTGCCCTTTTTTTTTTCAAAGATAAAGCAGTTACTAAGTTCTTCTACAGCAAATTTGAAAATGCATTTGAGATTGCCATGAATTTGTATGACTGCTTCTAACTAAATACAAACAGTTATTTTATTTTACTAGCCAAACAGCTTAGAAATATAATTTTGCACTGCTGAAAAGTGAACACATTTCTTGCATACTATACCTTTAAAAATACATAGACAATAAACACATCTCATATTCTATACACCGGATACACCAATTAGCTAGCTACGTACAGTTTCCCGCCATAGATGATAATATCCATCTACGTTGAAATGATAAGCATAATAAGTGAAGAAGATTGTACAGATTGACAATTTATTATCTTATAGAGACACGTTTATATGTTGTCAGACGTTTCAAAGTGATGTAAAATGTTCCAGTTTATCACTGATTGTACTATTACACAGTCCATGGTGGAAGATCTATCAGTTTATTTACAATGACCAGATTCTTTTCAAAGCGGCCACACTTTTGGAGACGATACAGAAACAAGATTGTGAAATGAATAGAATAGTACTGTCAAGGAAAGTTTGTTCCTTAGCTTGGCTAAGAGTTAATCCAGACTGTGTTAGTCAGTACATTAGAGTTTAAGTGTTTGTTACAAAATGTTAAAAGCCACTTTTCATCTGGAACATCACAGAGTACGGAAAACGGAATATTGTTTGGTTTTTGTTTCAAGCAAAAGCTACAACGACCTAAACCCTAACAATATGACACAAGCATGTCACAAGCGAAACATTGCATGCAAAAACCAGATCCGTCTGTGTGGCGTGTGAGTCTTATGAGACAGTCTAGACTGTGACAGCTGCATCTATGTGACAGGTCTGACTTTGACAGGTCCGTCTATGGACAAGTGACTCCATATGACTAGTCAAACTTGGGCAGGCCGATCAGTGTCCTATTGCGCCATGATTCCAGTTACTTGCTCTTGTCTCAAAACTTTGACTTTAATTCATCTTGCCTGAAAAAAATTACAGATTAATTTTAATCATCAACATTTTAGGTTTTAAATTTCATGGTGAAGTAGAGCATTTATCGATAAATGTACAACATTACAAGGCCAAGGTCAACTGGAGATCGACAAATTCAGTGACCTCCAACATGACCTGGGAGCAATGGGACATCAGACACATGTTTAACAGGTCGCGTCTCGCTCGATGTGATCACCACTGGGGGGGGGGGGGGGGGATGGACAATAAGAAGCCGAAAGAAAATTCCCTCCAAACGCGCTTAAGGATGTCCTAATCCACTGTGTTGATACCAGCTTATTTGATCGTTTGTGTCATTGATCGCCCCCCCACACACACACACCTTCGTTACATAGATATAATAAAACAAACTCAAAACAGTGCACATTGATACTGACCATTGGGAAGACATAGCTTTAGATCACACTAGATGGAGAGAGACGGTAACCAAGGAAGCTATGGACAGTGAATAAACATGGGCCTTGGCTATGGAAGAAAGACATGCCATACGAAAACCACCAAAGCGAAAGCCACCTTATCCTTCGATATTTGTGGACGGGAGTGTCTCTCCGAAATAGGGCTCCACAGCCACATGAAAAAGTATTCGAGATGAACCAAGGTCGCTCTACGCCTGAAGGAGGCCAACATGTCATTGATATTTACTGGCCAAGGTGGAACAAAATCGTTGTCTTTAACACTCCCCACAAGTGAAAAAAGTCGCACACAGTGAGGTTGGGAAACCAAGCAGACCAAACCCAGGATGCAATGTGTTGTGAACTCCTAGTAAATTACTGCGATTATACTTGACACATAACGTACTAATACTTCTTTCGATAACTCAAGAGACGCAAACGATGAATTAAAAACAAAAATATAACTTTAATAAAAGTAATCAGGGTATTTGCCGCTGAAGATAACACATCAAACTTTAGCTAAATGAATATACACATAATTATAAACTTTCTTCTATATTACTCATATCGTACCGCTAGGCTCCATAACTCAGGCCTCTAACAACAATAACAAAACTCAAGGGCCGTCACCCCACTTTACCTAGTCAACCAATGAAATAATAATAAATAAAATAAATAAACATAGAAATCCTCAAATCTTACAACCAAGATTCTATAAAGTGTTGTCCACAATGGTCTATACAAACACAATCACCACACAATGTCTTAGGCATTCCTACAACCAATCTACCGGCGAGGTACAGTTTCTTTCAGGCAGGTTAGTAGTGTTGGTGGTGGTCACACTAACTACTTTAAAAGCCTGTATTCAAAACTACTGTTTAACTTTTTAAAACCTTTTTTTTTTCGATGACAAAGTTTTTCACTAGACGATTACGTAACAAAACATTGATTAGTTCGTCTCCCTGGGGTTTATTTCTGGACCCTCGACAGCTTTGTAGTTTGTGTTAGTATTGGTGTCTATAGTTAGATTGCCCCCTTGGCGCTATCGAGTATGGACAGAACACTCATTGTGTGTGTACGATTACAAATCAAAGTAACATATCCACATCCAAAAGTAATCGATTCTTTTTTTTATATATTTTGAAATTCAACATCCAAACCACCCACTTACCAAGCCCGAGTGTTAGGATTAGGTCTACAGTCTGATAATGTTAGAGTGGGACCACGCTAGGAGATGAAGTTACCACATAATTTTTTTTTCTGTTTGTCTGTCTTGTTGTTATTTGCTGGACTCTCCAATTTGACGACTCGGTCAACGGGCCAGATCTAGACATGAGAAGGACCCCATCGATCTGAAAGACACAAACATGTGCTTGATTTAGTACTGCGTGTGTGGTGGGTGGGTGTGGGCGTGGTGTGAGAGTACTATAAGTTCTTTGAGTTAGGTCTGATTTGAAAAGTGATAGAAACAACAACATTTGTCAAAGACGTGAGAAGTGGGCAGAAGTGAGTACTAGTACAGATTGTGAGTATTAGAAGAAAAGTTGCATGACGCGTAGGACGTAATCATCTTCTTTTTTTAGAGCAACGTCTGAATTATATAAGCTAAGGTGATTGGAAGAGAAAGTGATAGGAAGAGAAGGTGATTGGAAGAGAAAGTGATTGGAAGAGAAAGTGATAGGAAGAGAAGGTGATTGGAAGAGAAAGTGATAGGAAGAGAAGGTGATTGGAAGAGAAAGTGATTGGAAGAGAAGGTGATTGGAAGAGAAAGTGATTGGAAGAGAAGGTGATTGGAAGAGAAAGTGATTGGAAGAGAAGGTGATTGGAAGAGAAAGTGTTTGGAAGATAACGTGATTGGAAGAGAAGGTGTTTGGAAGGTGATTGGAAGAGAAGGTGATTGGAAGAGAAGGTGATAGGAAGAGAAGGTGATTGGAAGAGAAAGTGATAGGAAGAGAAGGTGATTGGAAGAGAAAGTGATTGGAAGAGAAGGTGATTGAAAGAGAAAGTGATTGGAAGAGAAAGTGTTTGGAAGATAACGTGATTGGAAGAGAAGGTGTTTGGAAGGTGATTGGAAGAGAAGGTGATTGGAAGAGAAGGTGATTGGAAGAGAAGGTGATTGGAAGAGAAGGTGATTGGAAGAGAACTTGATTGGAAGAGAAAGTGATTGGAAGAGAAGGTGATTGGAAGAGAAGGTGATTGGAAGAGAAGGTGATTGGAAGAGAAAGTGATAGGAAGAGAAAGTGTTTGGAAGATAACGTGATTGGAAGAGAAGGTGTTTGGAAGGTGATTGGAAGAGAAGGTGATTGGAAGAGAAGGTGATAGGAAGAGAAGGTGATTGTAAGAGAAAGTGATAGGAAGAGAAGGTGATTGGAAGAGAAAGTGATTGGAAGAGAAGGTGATTGAAAGAGAAAGTGATTGGAAGAGAAAGTGTTTGGAAGATAACGTGATTGGAAGAGAAGGTGTTTGGAAAGTGATTGGAAGAGAAGGTGATTGGAAGAGAAGGTGATTGGAAGAGAAGGTGATTGGAAGAGAAGGTGATTGGAAGAGAAGGTGTTTGGAAGGTGATTGGAAGAGAAGGTGATTGGAAGAGAAGGTGATTGGAAGAGAAGGTGATTGGAAGAGAAGGTGATTGGAAGAAAAGGTGATTGGAAGAGAACTTGATTGGAAGAGAAAGTGATTGGAAGATAACGTGATTGGAAGAGAAGGTGTTTGGAAGGTGATTGGAAGAGAAGGTGATTGGAAGAGAAGGTGATTGGAAGAGAAGGTGATTGGAAGAGAAGGTGATTGGAAGAAAAGGTGATTGGAAGAGAACTTGATTGGAAGAGAAAGTGATTGGAAGAGAAGGTGATTGGAAGAGAAGGTGATTGGAAGAGAAAGTGATTGGAAGAGAAGGTGATTGGAAGAGAACGTGATTGGAAGAAAAGGGGATTTGAAGAGAAAGTGATTTGAAGAGAAGGTGATTGGAAAAGAAGGTGATTAAAAGAGAAGGTGATTGGAAGAGAAAGTGATTGGAAGAGAAAGTTATTGGAAGAGAAAGTGATTGGAAAACAAATTGATTGGAAGAGAAAGTGATTGGAAGAGAATGTGATTGTAAGAGAAAGTGATTGGAAGAGAAAGCGATTGGAGGAGAAAGCGATTGGAAGAGAAAGTGATTGGAAGAGAAGGTGATTGGAATAGAAGGTGATTCTAAGAGAAGACGATTGGAAAAGAAAGTGATTGGAAGAGAAGGTGATTGGAAGAGAAAGTGATTGGAAGAGAAAGTGAAAGTGAGAAAGTGTAGTTTTATTTGCAATTTCGAGACAATATGTTTTCTAATGCCGACAATTAAATGTCTAAAATAATTTTCTAAAATTTCTTTTCGCTTTAAAAGTCCTTATGAACATGGTCACATGGTCCGCAACTTCCGTTCCTATTGGTACATTTATTTCTACATAGATCTAGGATATAGTATATATATAAGTATATGATCTAGATCTTATTCTTCTCTAGATCTAGAGGATTGTCAGAGTAAATGTAAGGGGTTATCTTTACATCAACCTGATATCAACTTTGTTTTTACAAAGAACACGAGACATCTGTATAAAAGCATGTGTGTGTATGTGGAGAAAATTGCTAGTTTTAAAATGTAAAAACTGTAGTTGATGATAATGTGTAAAACAATTTAAAATAAGAAAATCGAGATCTACAAGTAGGCCTCTATTAGAAATAAAAAAAATAAAAACCCAAAAAATTGTCAGAGTGAATATAAGTGTGTGTTCAAAGTGTGTGTGTTTGTGTTTTTTTGTTTGGGGCGTGGGTGGCGGAGGAATACTGTACAAATATTTGTTGTTAAATAAAAAAAACACAAAACTATTTACTTTGGTGTTGCCCATGGGTCACATCTTTCCATAAAGCACTGCTATGAGGCACCTTAAAACGTATGCCCGCATATCCTATTAAAGCAGAGAATCGTTTTATTTGGACTCGTATACTCTAGTTGAAATGGCTAGGAACCGCTGACCTAAATCATTTCATTGATTGCTCTTACATTCAAATGTTCCGTAGGTGAAATAATCTCTAGGGAGTTATACTGGGGTGATTATAAACAGAGAGATATAGATCACAGGCATTCTATACTCGTGTAAGCTTGTGGCGTGTAAGCTTGTGCTTGTATTTTTTTTTCATTTTTTTTTTAAATACCAAAATCTGTGGCATATAAACTTATTGTAATATTAATATAATGAGATTTTATTTTGATGTACTTGAATCAAGTGACATTTTCAGAATCATTAAATGTCCTAAAGAGCGCGCTGTTTGGCGGTAAGGTACTCAATAAATCTTATTTAGTTAGGTCAACTTCACCCGGCTGTCTGTACAGATTCTCCACTAGTTACCAAATCTTTACATCAGGTTTACGACCACCGTATTCCGTAAGATTTGAAAAGATTTGAAATAAATTCAAAATTTGAAACTAAATCTAACGGAGTTGCACTAGTCCCATAGTAATTCCATACTGCAATGTCCCTGCTGCAGATGTAAAGTGAACGCAGCAATGCGTGGTACGAGTTTTATTCGCGAAATTATTCCTGAAAGTGAAGTATTTATTAAAAGGAGATTTTTTTTTACTTAACTAAAAAACACTAAGGGTTACATTTAAATCTCTGCGATAGTACCCTAGTGGGTGTGTTTGGTTGCTGGCCATGTTTTTATATGTTTTCTCTTTGAAGTCACATGAAAACTTAAAAACATCTATTCATCTATTTATGTTCCAGGACATAACCGAGATTACGGCTCTGATCATCTGTACACACAAATATCGTTACGAAGTTGCACATCTTTCTTATTGTACATGATAGAAAAAGACAACTCTCTTCTGCTACTCTTCTACTTGTCTGAAGAAAGATGTGAACCGCCTCAACCCCACTTTCTCCTTGAAAGAGCAAAACAACGTAATATTTCACCTGTAATGACCAGGAACACAAGACAGACACTAGAGGGCTATTCCAGTAGAAAGATTAAAATGTACCCCATCTTTCTTTTTAGTTCAACAAGTTTTTTTTCTCTTAACTAAATAAATTGCTGGTCTAAAGCAGCGTTTCTCTAACTCTCTAACTCTAGGACGCTAATTTCTGTCAAAGGTGGGGGAGAATGTTAATTTTCAAAGGCTAACAAAAAAGACAACAACTGAATTTTCATTGTTTGAATATTAAGCAAATAAAATAATATTATTACTAATGTCTTACAAAATTGAAATATCTGAAGTGATACGTCGTTAATCTTGAAATAATATTTTAAAATGTCTGCAGTTTTTGGAGCGGCTCGACTTAAAACGTTTTAAATAAGACGTCTTCGCTAACGAGATTCTTCTCGAGTTTCGGAATTGTTAAAATTCTCCTGAGTGGTTTATATGGTTATGTTAACGACTTTTAAGTGACCAAAACAAAGTTTCACGGCATGACGTATTACTTCAATGGAGATGTCTTACATTGATTATAAACATGCGAACGCTATATTTACCTGGAATTTCCCTTACTATTATGTTGGCCAATGCTCTTTTTCTTTATTAGACCTAATTTTACCTGTGATTTTTGCGGCCCCCGAAAGGGGAAAAGACGCTATTAGTTTTGTGTGGAATGTCTGTCCGTCTGTCCATCTTTCCATCCGTCCCGTTTAGATCTCGTAAACTAGAAAAGATAGTGAAAATCCGACATCATAATATTTTAAACCATTCAAAGTGCTGGTGCAACTGCTACTTTTTTCTTTTCTGAAACCGAAAAATCTTATTTTTAAATCATTTATAAAAGCAGTTTTTCATTTAAGAAAATACACAACTTTTTCAACTATTCACTATTAATAGTAACAAACACGGGAAGCTCTTTTGTAGGGGAGATAACAATTTACCAGATTTTTAACACATTTACGCAAACAAACTGTCTTACATTTTTGTCAAAAAATATTTTTTTTACGTTTGTATTGCTCTACCAACTACTACATTTACAAACATTTTTTTTAAGAAAAAAAATCTATTTAGTATGCATGTAAGTTGGACATAATTTAAAACAACAATTAATAAGTAGTTTTTCATATTATCGCGTGAACTGCGCTACCTCCACCATGCAGTCCGCAACGATACAACACTGAACTAAAGGAATTTTTGTTTTCTTCTCTGTCATTTTCTGAGATAGAATTTCATTATGATGTTCTTTCTGAAAATATTGAAACCGGCCTTTTTACCTGCCTGGGTGGACCACTTCGGGGGCCGATTTTGAGTTTGTGTCGCCACACAAACTTTCTTTGTAACCTTCTTTTTTATTGGTCAAGCTAAAAAAAAAAATAAAAAAAAAGAAGACAAAAATACACCTACGTAACACAACACTGTCATCCCAACAGAAATTATGCATGCAAAGTCATCTGCCATAAAAACGAACTGGCTTTAATAAACACTCACTACGTAAATTGAGATTCTAAACAAAATTTAACACAAATACAACCACCAACCAACTTTACTTTTTTATACCAGTTACGGCCAGACTTAGGCGCGTCTGAAAAAATCCCATAGTTTAAATCCCTGAGGAATGCAACACATCTCGTGTGGTATGCGCTCTGATCTGTCATCTCAATAGTCTGGGTTTGAAACCTACCCCCCCCCCCCCGTCAGACTCCGCTTTCCAGATGTAGGTGTGGGGCAATGTGTAATGGTTACTAATACTGAAGGAACATCTGAAGCATGTTAAACTAATCCAAAACAAATAAATAAAACTATAATTTAAATTATATATATATATATATATTATTTAGATGAATAGGGAATATAAAAATGTCCACGTCCCCCTTTACGACTTAACTCCCTCGAGTATTTGACCTACCTCCCTTCAACATGTGAGTATAACAGTTCCCATCACAACAGTTCCCATCACAAATGTCCCCCCCCCCAACAGTCCCCACCCCAACATTGGTGGTCCAAGAAGTAGGAACACGAAGACACAAACAATTCTCATGTCTATTCCACTAACGATCGACCCCTGAGACCAAGTCGAGATCCCGAAAAGAGACACTCCTTTTGTCACTATGTGGTCAACCTTTGGCTGAGTGGAATCACTCATTCTAGACTTAGTTGTCCTCTCTAGATCATCTCTTCTCCACCCCACCCACCCCCTTTCTCCCCAGACAAATTTCCTTGAACAACCCCGCCTCTTACCATTTAGAGTGGCTCTCTCCCAGAACTCTTGCCACCCCCCCCCCCCCCCCCCCACTATGATGGATGACCTTATAGGTTTGAGACGTTATTGGATGTGTTATCAGAGGTAGCAATCAGCTTGGGTAGACAGTTATCTGACCTTAGATGGAGATGGTTATTCTACAGATACTGACAAGATGTTTTCAAATTATACGAGGCTAAAAAAGAAAATACAATTATC